CAACGCGAGAGAAAAAAAACAAAAGAAAAAAAAACCAGGAGACTATCCACGTCGACTGCACTAAAGGCTTCGATGATAAGGCTACAATGCAATGGTGGGCAATCGGCCCCGACATCCGGTCGATGCTTCTCCCCTGACACACGCAGCCTCAGCCGCGTCGGGGTCATGGTGGTCAAGCCGGAAGTCATCTCCGGCAAGTCTCGACACGGTCAGCATAGACTGCGACTCTTGGAACACAACGCCAACAGCGACGACACGAAAAGTTTGTGGTCTGAGGGTCGCTGATCCATATCTGATGGCAACTATCAGCCACACTCAGCCCTGACCACCCCGAGGCCAGTGAGTCTACACCAATTTCAATCATTTCATCAAGTGCCACATTTGAGTGGGCAGCCAGAGGATCGCGAGACACGGACATTTCCCAGTCTATTCGCCCACCATTTCTTGTTAGTGGTCTCAGTTCAACCCGGGCGGCAGCACAGGTGGGGACGCATTGTGAGCTTATAACAGGCGACTTGCTGGAAAACCGATGCCTGCAGGAAAGCTCAGGCAGAAGTATCGCTCATTGGCTGCATGCACATGGGGGATCGCCAGCTCAAGATGCCTTCTTGTGGACAGACTGGGTTGCTAGGTGTCTTGGTGGCTAGCCAAGTCAAGACTGGTCTATCAAATGTGCGCCTGTGCGTCTTCGCGAAGGAGATTACGAGAGGATTAGAAGGGACACACGAAGAGAGGGAGATGGAGGAGGGAGCACGCCCGAACGGATGCATGGACCCGACATTTACACCCCCCTCCCTTGTGTCGTCTGCGATATGCCCATGAAAGCCGTGATATTCTCCCACCACGTCCCCCGGGAGTCACCTTGTTTCAGTTCAGCACGGCAGTTGGGATTTAGGACCGAGACTGCGCACTCTCGCGCCCGTGACGGTTCGCGTGAGAAAAAGGGCGGATAGCGTCTAGGCCGCCGCGGTGTGCTGCCTCCGCCAGTCGAACAACCCCAGGCAGCGGTCATAGTTCCCCTTTGAGCTGAAGCTGAGGAGGGACACAAAGGTACAGATGACGGCGAGTGATGATGACGTTTGGCCTGATGTCTTTTTTCATCTTTTTTTTTTTTCGCACTCTCCTTGCTGCGTTTCCCCAGTCGGCGATCTCCGCCGCCTCGCAAGGCGGGAGCTGATGCGAGTTTTACCAAGACGCGCCTAAGCAGCGGGAGGACCGTCACTTGGCTTTTAGCACGCTGCCACCAACACCAGCGGCGCGTGTCTGTCCAACGACCAGCGCATATCTGGCACCTCCGCCGTGGGGGTGGCTCTCGGGGCGCCCCCCAAAAGTGCCCTCTAATGCCGTGGGCCTGTTGTCCCATGCCCCGGTGTAAGGGCGCCCATCCCGCCCTTCCGCCGGCCACACCGACGACTCGTCGCACGCGATCACCGACGGCGCCTGGGCTGGTGGCCTGCGAGACGAAACCTTACCAGCAAACCCCAGCGATCGTTACGCTGTAGCCCTCTGGTGATGGGGAAATTCTGCCCAGCTGCCACCCGCTGTGCCTCGGCTTCCGGCCTAGAAATGGACGCCGAGACCGTTGATGGCATCATTGCCCACATCTGCTGCCAGCAAACCAGTCCACCACCTCCGAACGACACGACACACCTCAGGGCGCGGCCGGCGAGAGCCAAGAGCCACCGAGCCAACTCTTCGGCGCTGACGATCCCCCGAGTCATATCGAACCCCGCTGCCGACTCGCCGCCGGGCCCTGGGCGGGATTCGGAGCCCCGGTGGGTTCCTCTCTGCAGCATCTTTCGTAGTCGACTAGACTCGCTTGGCGGCTGCTTCGTCATGCTTCCATGCAGCTTCGATATGTACTTGGTGGTTGAAGCTTCCATCTGGTGGTGGTTTCCCCATCTGGCTGGCGGCCGGCGGCCCTTCATGGATGTCGCTTGGCCAAAGACGGGGACCATGCTCGACGATTGGTGACGAGGCTGGTCTGCTTGAGACTTGAGACTACACAAGCCTCTTTTCATGCGTTCTCTGGTCCGTTCCATTGTCACCAGGAACCTTGAGGGTGTGTGATTCGGACGCGGTACCCAGGTACATTCAGCCCATGTCCGAAAACGGTTCTGGAGAGCCATATGAACCCCTTGTCTCTTTGTTTTCACCCTCCCGCCTTCATCCACTTTTCGACCTTATTCGCTGCAAGCGCAATGCGAAGCTTTTCCCCGATGTCTCTCGGCGATATCTCCATGTCACCGCCAGCCGGGTACTTGTGAGCCTTGGCCAACGTGGACGCAAAGATCAAAGCCTCGTGGTGATCACCTACATGTACACCCTTCCTTCATCGGCGTTCGGGATTATCCCCGCTCCGCGCCATGGGTGCGTGTAACGTAGTAGGCGTACCAGTTAGCTTTATGCCCCTGCTTAGCGGCGGCTGACCAGCCGAGTCCGTCTGCCACGGAATGCTGAGAGCATGGTTTTTGTTGTATGCTAGCACAACAAGCATTGTCTGAGCCATCGACCTCTTGGCAAGGTTATCAAGGCATCATCTTGTTTGCCTATTTTTCTGCCCGGCTGTTGTGGGTTTCCGCCCTGAACCCTGGCTACTGGAAAGCCTAAGGCTTTTAGGGGGTAGGGGGCGGCGGGGGAGGTGTGCTTGTGTCGTGTTTGTGTGTGCGCGCGCGTGCTCCCCTTCTTGGCCGTGCCGAGCCCGTGGTCCACCTACCGATGCTTGTCTGTTGCCTGGCCCGCTGCGCCCATGGGACATGTCTTCAGCTCTGGATGAAGTGATCGACAAGTCTGTCTGTGAGCCAGCCGCGGCCCCATCCACGCACAACTGAGACCATGTACACAGTACCGTGGGGTAGGGTGCAGGAACCTGTCTTGGCCACCCACGCTGGCCGTTGTTTTGCGCTGCGCAGGCCTCGCATTGAATCATAGCAGCCCGCGCCGTTTGAACGGTAGGGCAAGACAGCCAGGGCAGCGGGACAAGCATGCATGGCGGCGCTCATGATGTCAAGCGGCCAGAGTGAACATATGCTCTCGCGTTGAACATGAAAAGACAGCAAATGCCAAGCCCCCCCCCTTGCTGAGATGCCAACTACAGTACCTATTCTGCCCGCCACAGATGAGCTGACCTCCGTGGCTGTGGCCGGCGATCTGTTGCTCATCCCGGTTTAGTGGCTACACGCCAGATAGCCCCCCTCCCCTCATGTCCGGGACCTTGCCCGGTACAGCAACAGGACACTCTCGGCATCTGGGGGTTCATTTGCTTTGAGCCGCTCCCCCCGCCTCCTCCTTTTTTTTTAATTTTTTTTTATTTCCCCAGGTGGCGGCGGTGGCATGTAGACGGCACCTTTTGCCCCTTTCCATCTCGCAAGGCGTCCCCGGAAGAGGTGAGGAGGAAGGAGCTGGAGACTTGCCAAGTATGCCCAGTTTGTCGGCATCGATCTTCCAGTACCGGGGGCCCGAGCCCCTGCTCCAAAGATAGGTCCCGGTCTCACGAACGGCTCGGCCGGGCGAGGTGGGGCCTGGCGTCGATATATGGCCTGATTTTCGGCAATGGTTGATGGGCTGGCGCATGCCAGGAGTAGGAAGGGGTCGAGAGGAGGGGCAGAAGGGCGGGGGCATGGATAGTCGTTGCTTGTCCCGGCAGAGAGAGAGAGAGAGAGGGATATGGCGGAGGCGACAGCAGTTTACTTCGTCGGACGGCAGTAGTCAAAGTCAACATGTTTGAAACAGACTCTGCCGATGGGCCTCGACGTCGTCTGCGATACAGTGGCTCGACAGGGTGGTGTCATACACGTCGACGTCGACTGGGGCTGCTTCGGTACGTTCGACACGTCCCAAAGGGGGAGGACCCTTGAAAGCTCGGCAGAGCTTGGAGCTGTGCTGCCGCCTGCCTGGGAAGCTCGGGTAGGTAACGCAGGTAGGTAGGGAGGTAGGGGAGTACGTCCGTTCGATCTGGGGGAGTAGGCTGGCCCTCTGGATCTCGGGTGATGCCTTTGTTTGCCACGTTACTGGAGGGCCCTGCAGCTCCAAAGTATATGTTTGTCGCAGCATGGGGGGTATGGGGAGCCAAGGACAACGGGCGGGACGGACGTGGTGCGTCCCGAGCAAGCCAGCGGCCAGGGGATGCACCAACGAGGAAAGGAGGAGATGGACCAGTGGTATAATTTACGACGAGAGATCCTACATGCATACCCGGCTTTTCGGAAAGAACACGCCATCGATCTCTAGAGCGGCCCGTACGCTGCCTTGTTTTTTCATTATTTTCGATCCGCGGCGGCGGCGGCAGGGGTTCGGATTATCGGGGGGTGGGAAGCGAAGTACTGCCTACCCGGCAGTACATCTTTTCATGTTTTGTTATATTTTTATTTCATCTTGGGCGTCGTCTCTCTCTGCCCACTCACCGTGTTGGGCACCACCAGACCGGGAGGAATGGTGATGGAGGAACAGGGGCCGGGGTGGGCAGCACTCTACGGCCATCGAGACGCGTACACTGGCCCATTCGACGATACCAGGTTTTGGCATTTTCGGCTGTACCTATGTCTATTGCTGAGGAGGAGTCGTGAACGTGCAAAGTAGGGGGGAGGAAAAGGGGGGGGGGGGAACCCCCGTACTTGGTCTTCGGGAACAATGCCTCTTCGGTCTCCCAGGATCAGATTTGGATCTGCCCAGGTCATTCCCATCTACCCTCGCCCGCCGCGGAAAGGCATCCGGCCTCCCAGAAACGCCTGCGCTGATGACTCCTTGTCTTGCTGCTTCCTCCATTCTGAACACCCCCTTTCACACTCGTACTCGTACATGTCCTCCATGCGCCCCATGCCATCCTAGAGCCCTCCCTTTTCTCCTTCCGTGCTCAACCTGCTTCCCGGTCGCCGCGGACGGGGGCGGGGGCGGGTGGGCGCAAGAGTAATGGGGACGCAGGTTTCCTTCGCCAGTCGAGAGTGTCAAGTTGACGCCTCTCGTGACGCGTCACCGAAACAGGGAGACAGACGCGGCATGGCCTAGATGAGCGTCGGTGCCGTGTTCTTGGACCACCCCTTGGCCCGCATCTGGGCCTCGACCTGCTTCCAGATGGCCTCGACGACCTCCTTGTCGCGGAAGCGCGCGGCGTCGCCGGCGCCGGGGACGGCGCCCACGGCGTGCCGCGGCCTGTCGACGCCCAGCTGCATAACGCGGTGGCCCCAGTTGCGCACGTTCTCGGGCGGCGTCTCGCCGCGCCACCCGACAAAGATGCCCTGGACGTGGCGGAAGAGCTCCTGGGGCTGGTTCCACTTGTAGTTTTTAAACTGCCACGTCTGGCCCGTCGTGAAGACGGCCACGACGCGGTTCCAGTACTCGGGCTTGAACTGCTCGGGGCCTTCGACGAGGATGAAGCGCATGGGGCGCGCCGGATCAATGTCCTTGAGGACGCGGGACACGTGGAGCATGCCCGACGACGACGAGGCGCTGCTGCTGTCGGGGGCGACGTAGCGGCCCTGCTCGAGGAAGGAGCGAATGTTGGACATGCGCAGGATGGACGAGGCCGAGGGCGAGAGGAGGATGATGGGGTCGGGCCGGCGTGAGGGTGCCTTTTGGTTGAGCGCCAGGG